CCCTTTCAAGAGCATCTGAGGCAGCCAAGCCTCCTTGGCCACCGGGGGTCCTGCTGTGGGCCTCCCAGGATGCCAGCCCAGGTTGCATGGCAGCACCATCTGGGGGCTCTGGAAGCGATGCCTTGCGGTGACCCACACCAGGCTGGTGTGGACGTCTGCAAAGGGACGCATGCGGCAGGCATGGCTCAGCCTCCCAGGGGGCCCCAGAATCCCTGGACCCTGCCACTCGAAGCGTGCTCAGTGCACCAGAGCATCAGCGCTGCCTGGGACTTGTTCGAACGCAGAGTCCCAGGTGCTGCCCCAGACCCGGGAATCAGAATCTGAATTCCAACAATGCCCCACGTGATTCCGCAAAGCTCTTCTTTGGGATACGGATTTATAACTGGAGACGACCTCTCCCTCCAGGGGGCAAACGCTGGCTCTTGAGGGCTGTGAGTCTCACTCTTTCCGTGTATAAAGCATGTGCCACAGACAGACTTACACAGAAGCACAGTCGTGGGCAGAGAAGGAGCCAGGGAGACGGTATCTCACAAGGCTCCTTGCAGGGGGCCAAGCAAGGATGGAGACGTTGAGAAACCCGCTCCTGGAAGAGAGGCTCAGGCCGGGCCAGCCAGAGGGGTGGAGCTTACACTCTGTTTCAGGGGGATCCATTCATCCCAGTTTGCCAAGAAGCGGTCCCAGTTTTCAAACTGAAAGCCCGGCATCCTGAAAACCCCCCAGGTCCTGTCGGCCACCCCATCTGTGTCCGTGAAGCTCCAGTGCCCGGCAGTGAGCCCGAACCCTGGGAAGATCCCAACGCCCTTCCCCTGCGGGGTTGTGGGAGCAGCGTTCATTCTGTTCTTCATGTCCGTATTGCAGACGCAGCTCTGTCGGAACCCGTCACCGCTCTACCACCGAGTAGACACAGATCGCATATGAGCTCCTTTGGTGCCCCGCGAGCACCACGCTCTCCTCTACTCGCCACTGCGGCCTGCAGCTCTGCCCACCTAGTCCCCCTCAACCTGGGTTTGGATGGGGACGCACAGGTGCCCCTGCCTTTGGAAGCTACCAACGACCAGTGAGCAGGACAAGACTGTGGGCACAAGTGCGTCTCAAGTCCCCGGGGACTTGGTGTGGCGGGGGGGTAGCGAGGGCAGCACGGGGTGAGCTGGGAGCTGCTGGGTCCCGGGAAGGACAAAAGGTAGAAGGGAGCCCTGCTGAGGGCATGGAGAGCCGGGGATGGGGACAGGAGCCGGCCAGGGGATTGGATCAGGCGGGCATCACAGCAATGCGGTGATGCGCTGAGCAGTGAGCTCAACAGTGGAGCTGAACAGACCTGTCCACGCCCTGACCCCCAAGGCTGTGGGTGTGGCCGGGTTTGGAAGAGCAGTCTTTGTAGATGGAATTGAGTAGAGATCTCAGATGAGACCACCCCAGATTACCCAGGGCCCTAAATCCAGTGGCAAGCATCCTCATGAGAGACACAGAGGAAGGCCACAGGAAGACAAGACAGAGGCTGGAATGCCCAGCCTCCAGGGCTGGAGGAGGCCGGAGGGACCCTGCCCTGCTGTCCCCAGAGGGAGCGTGCCATGCCCACACCTTGATTTTGGACTCCTGGCCTCTGGGACCATGAGAGCTCACATTCCTATCGCTTTAAGCTCCCCCTTTTCAGTCATTTGTCCCAGCAGCCCCAGGATTCTCCTGCAGACTGGACATGTGGGCAGGTCACAGTGAGGTTGCACCTCTTTCACCTCACCTCTAGGAGGGGACGTGCAGGTGCAGGACCAGCTCTGGGCATTCCAGTCCCTGATGCCAACCAGACTTTCCCAGCAGAAGGGCTCCCTCCTTCCCCACGGGCTTGTGCCCTGATCGAAGGGGCCTGGAGACTGAGCGGAGAACACTGCCCCACCCCAGAGATGGGCACAGACCATGGCATCATCCAAGCAGCCAGGGGGAGGCACTGCTGGCACGTAGCCGTGAAGTGCAGCATTCAGCTGGACTTCGGAGAGCCATTCCAGAAGGTAAATACCATACATTTCATTAAAAATGTATTTATTACGAGCACACAGGAGAACCCTTAGGAGGCTCAGCACATGTTCAATAGGTGTGCCTCTAAGAGCCCCACAGAATACTGCTCTCCAGGCGTGGGCACTGCCAACCCCCATCCACATGTGCCTTCAATGGCCGGCGAAGGGTGGAGCGGCATCCTGACCAAAGGACAGCAGCAACCTCGCCACTTCCAATGATACGCAAATCCCCTACATAGAGTGGGTAATGCCCGCCAGAGAAAATGTGCCTAGGAATTAAACACAGAAACTGCCCTCGATAGGCATCTAAGGGGTGCAGAGTAAAACAGTGCTGCCGTCCAACTGGGCTTCAGGCTAGCAAGCTGTAGGGAAGCTGTAAGACCAGTTGGGTGGCTGCAGGGCACTGCCCCAGGAGGCGGCTTGCATTTCTCCTGAAAATCCTTGGCGCTGCGGCACGCCAGCCATCAAACTGCTCACACGCTCTGGCTCAGTGGTGTGACTCCCTAAGATTCAACCCAGGGAACAAAATGGAAAGGAAAACTACATGCCTAAATTTTTTATGGCAGCAGCATGGCTAAGTATTAGACTGAATCAACTCAAGGGCTGGCACATGGCCACAAAAAAAGTGATGCCATGTGGTACAACACAGAAAACCTGGACACAGACATGCATGAATGGAGGAAGATGCAAAACTTTAGTCCATGCCTAACTGTATAAATATGTCATCGTAAAGAAGATAATATAAACAAAGAAAGTGATCGTGCCGAATGACAGGGATGTGGGCGAACTTTCTTGAAATTACTAATGGTTTGCATGTATTTTTAATAAAGGAGAGGAAATGTCTGTGTATGGAGACGGTGATGAGAAAGGGACATGGAAAATTAAAGCCTATTGATTTGCTCTGGAGAAAAACTAAATTTAGACTGCGCACTGTTCCAGAGACAGCTCATGCGCTACCTCATCCAGGCCTCCCGGTCTCCTGCTCGGGGATAGCTTAGCCCCACTGGACAGAGACGGAGACGGAGGCCTCCAGGAGGAGACACCCCTGGGAGCAGCTCTGGGACAGGTGGTCTGGCCTCTCGGCTTCTCGGCCTGCTCCTCAAAACCTGAGTCTGGAGCCCATAAACATAAAGGAGTCCTGGTCCCCTGGGCAGGGGTCCGGCCAACGGAATGCCACCCCTGGCTCCTCAGAGACATGCAGCAAGTTGTAACTACACCCAGAAACTCCATCTGTACAAGCCCAGGTGACACTGGGAGGGATCGTTGGCTGTTCGAGCAACATTGAAGAGACCCCCGTTTCCTCCGCTGTCTCCACCACAGTGGGATGCTACAGGAGCAGAGGACATCAGCGTCCATGCAGACCAGGCGCTGGTGAAGGAAGAGCTCTGGCCCCATGGTACTGGACTGAAACACAGGAGTCGGGGCAAATGAGGGAATTAAGGAATTCTGCATAAGGACAGACAGCAGAGTCAAGTGCCCCTTTCCATCCTGTAGCCAAGGGGACCCATTGTTGGACCATCCACCTAGCAAGGGGCCTCCATGGACTGGAGCATCCCAAAGAGCCTCACCCAAAACCAGTCCTGGAACACAAGCCCTATGGAGACCCTCCAAGGAGATTTCACTGGGACTCAATGCCCATGGGGCGGCTGGGTCCCAAGCACACTCAACCCAGCGAACTGCCTTCTCCAACGTGGGAGTGGCATTTTTGAAAATACTGTGCCTGCCTCTCCCTGGTGGGCATGTTGCTTCCAGGCACAAGATGGAAATCTCCCAACACATAAGGCGCTAGGGCAGGGGGCACGGCAGGAAAACATCTGTTCATCCTCTTTGTGGGAACGCAATCCACCTCTGACTCCTTTCCCTGAGGCTGGCGGCAGAACCGGGGGAGCGGCTGGGGAGCCGGGCGGGGGCAGACCCAGGCCAGGAGGACTGGCTCGGGAAGGCGTTTTGTTGGAGGGGGTAAGAAAACTCTAGGCAGAATGCCAGCCTCGGCCAGAGCGTGGTGGGTGACCCGGCCCGCTGGGCCCCAAGCACACCCTTCCTTCACAAAGAGGGGACATCGCTTGAGGTGCAGACGCCCACCTTCCCAGAGATTCCGGAATCCCTCCCCAAGAACCGACGGAGCAGTCAGTCAGCAGAGCCCCTGCACAGAAGGTGGAGCCAACAGCCAGAAACCAACTCAACGAGGCCGCCCACAAATCGGGGGGCCTGGCCAGCAGGTTTAGGTGTTTTCCATGGATTTCAAATAGAAAAAGTAATTATTACTTGAGAAATACACTGTGGAATCCAAAATGGTTCAGCCCCAGAGAACGCGGGAGTGGCGAGCTGTGCGCGGAGGAGACAGAGTCCTTGCCTCAGAAAAGCTTGGGAACCGCAGCCCAGAACACCTGGGCCCTTGCTTCCACCTTCCTGGGTGAGCAGATGTGAATGCTCAAGATGATAATAACCAAAATTATTTCTCAAAACCTCCTTCTCTTCCACTTCATTTAAAACATCAAAGGGCTGCCTGCTGTTCTTGGACTGAATGCACATTTCCCATATAAAGAGACACCCCCGCCATGTATTTACCAAGCTCTTCGGCTGTACCAGAAAGAAAGGAAAACACCCAAACAATGAGGCTGATGGGCACATTCGGTGGGCTTGAGAGCTGCGCCTGGAGTTCGGAGCATGGGGAAGGGAAATTGTGCGCTGACCTGAATTCACAATGCAAGCCCTCTTCCCCGGGGGGGCAAACAAGCAAGGGGAAAAAAGCCAGACAGAAAAGCACAGAGAGCCGGTGAACTTTCTAAGCGGCCGTCCATCCTCAGTGCTGTCTGTGCCCACTGATGAAACCCTTGATTCTCTTCCAACTTCTGTACGCATTTCCTGGCCGAAGGACAGTCCCGGGCCGCCCGCGCACAGAGGCCGCTGCAGTCGGGCGTCTGCAGCTCAGCCCTCATCCCAGAAGCTGCCAGAGGTGCATGAGGAGAAAGGCCCACCCTCGGGCTGACTTACCGCCACAGAGAACTTTCCAGAACCTTCCCCATGTCTGCATGGTAATACTTCGTCAGGATCAAGATCACCTGCAGCAGCAACAGAAAGACAAAGGCAGAAATCAGTGGGTTTCAAGGTTCTCGGAGAGTGACAGAACGATACCCCGCCTGCCAGGCATTTAGGGGTCTCTCAAATATCCCTGCTGGAGCCCTTCTCAGTCCACACCCCAGGGGCGCTCCGGCCTCCTTGCACCAGAGCTGCAGGCACCAGCACCAGGGCTGGGTGGACATAATTCAAACGCAGCCCTGGACAGTCTCAACCTGGGGGTCAGAGGGACAGCTGAGGCGGTGGTCCCAGGGTGAGCACAGATCACTCGGCAAGGCTTTGTCTGCACTAGAGCCCCGGGGAGCCGCGTGAACCCCAGTCGGAAACATGGGCGGGGCCTCACCCCAGGCGAGAGCAGGCCCCGAAAGGATGGGCCACTACGCTCCTCAGAGCAGCGCGGATGGCAGGACCGACGACTCTGGGTGGGGAGGTGGGTGGGAACAGCTGGATGGGCTGGAGGGCCCCTAAACCATCGGCGGCACACACAGCTTTGCTGTGGTTAAACTGCACCCCACGCCCCTCAACCCAGACTCTTTCAGTGGGCTGTACTCAACGCAGCCGTTTTTATGTCATGTCCATCCAGAGAAGTCAACTGTTCATAAAAATGAAAGTCGATGCAATTAAGAGCACCTAGAAGTAGTTCTTCTAAACTCGTGTGTGAACACCACCAGCCCAAGGGAGTGAGGACCCGCCTGCCCCAGGAGCAGGAGCTTCGCCCGGTACTTCCCCGGCCGCTGCATCTTCATGCACATCGCCTTTCATCTCACTGACCGCCGGTCCCCTGGCTGCTCCTGACACTCCCGTTGCCATGGGAACCGGGGGGTAAACGGGGAGCACCCCCTGGTTCCCGTGGGAGCGTCAGCTGGTTAATTCGGGGTCACCACGCCGGCCGCTCCCCACGTCTGGCTCTGTCATCCCGACAGGACTCCCTCTGCTCTCGGTCCTCGGGGCGTTGCTGCTAGAAATGCAGCCTGGCTCATGTCTCTTCCCCGGGGATTAAAGCAGCTAAGAGGAGGGGGTGTCCGCTGAGACAGGTCAGTGTGCATTTTAGAAGCAGCAACGATCAAAAAAAAAAAAAATCGAGGCCTCAACAGTGGAGGCACAGTGGCTCCCGCCCTGCTGAGAGCAAAGTGACTTTTCCCACGAGGCTCTTGGGCGGCCCTGTAGGGCGGGACCCTCTGGAGACAGAGGATGGCAGGAAGGGCGGTGGCCTGGACATGCAGGAGATAAGGGTGCCTTCACCCTGTGCACTCATAGTTCACAGCCTCACTGTTCCCAGAGCGTCCCAGGAGCCAGAGCGTGATGGCGTCAGGGCCTCAAACGCTGCCCGACCCACAGCCCCATCCAGGGAGGACCCTCAGTCCTGTCCAAGGAGGACCCGCAGCCCCATCTGGGGGGGACTCACAGCCCCGTCCGGGGAGGACCCTCAGCCCCATCCCAGGAGGATCCGCAGCCCTGTCCAGGGAGGACCCTCAGCCCTGTCCAGGGAGGATTTGCAGCCCCATCCAAGGAGGACCCGCAGCCCCATCCGGGGAGGACCCTCAGCCCCGTCTGGGGAGGACCCACAGCCCTGTCCAGGGAGGACCCTCAGCCCTGTCCGGGGAGGACCCTCAGCCCTGTCCAGGGAGGACCCACAGCCCCGTCCAAGGAGGATCCACAGCCCCATCTGGGGGAGACCCACAGCCCCGTCCGGGGAGGACCCTCAGCCCTGTCCAAGGAGGATCGCAGCCCCGTCTGGGGGGGACCCACAGCCCCATCCGGGGAGGACGCTCAGCCCCATCCAAAGAGGACCCTCAGCCCCATCCAAGGAGGATCCGCAGCCCCGTGTGGGGGGGACCCACAACCCCGTCCGGGGAGGACCCTCAGCCCCATCTGGGGAGGACCCTCAGCCCCATCCAAGGATGACCCGCAGCCCCATCCAGGGAGGACCCTCAGCCCGACACCCTCCGCGGCACCTGGTCCCAGGCTCTGCTCACAGGCCCCAAGGGGCGGGTGCTCATCCCACGTGCGGCTGGCCCACCTCCTAGCAGTGCCTGCTGCCACCAGCTCTGCTGCTGCGGACAACTGCCAGGTGGGGTGGCCTCCCTCCCAGGCCCCACCGGGGAAGATCCATGCCTCACGCCTGCTCCCAACCTCACTCTCAGCTCCGGCCGTCCGGCCTTGTCCCAAGCTCTTCCTCACCTTGAGACCCCCTTCCCTGTCCCCACCCCTGATTCCTTGGGCAAGTCCTATTCAACATCCAGATCTCACTCCATTGACACCACTTCCAGGAAGTCTCCCAGCCCCTCCCCTGGGTTCAGTCTCTCTCCCTACTCCCCCTCCCCTGTGCTCTCCAGTCCCAGCTCTGCTGGCACCACTGCTGAGTGAGGGTTTGGGCTCCTAAGGCCCCAGGGTCATCCTGGCCCAAGGCTGAGACAAGAGCTGCCCATGGGGACTCACCCTGCGGGAGCTCCCACCAATACCCTGACACTGTGATTGGCAGTGGGAAGGCCCCCTCTCCTTCAGGGTCAGCACCTTCAAGCCCATGTGCCTGTTTCCTGATCGACAGTGAGGCAATGACACCAAGCCTCCCCTGGGGGTGAGGACAAAGGGGTGAGCAGCAGCCCGGTGGCGAGTGGCATTCGCTGACGCCAGACAGCCTCCGCCGGGCTGCATACCCACTCCGCGTACACCCTCCACAGCCTGTGGAACCCAGGGCAGCGTGTGTGAACACCACCAGCCCAAGGGAGTGAGGACCCGCCTGCCCCAGGACTGTCACCCCTACTGTACAGGTGAGGAAGGACAGCAGAGAGCTTAAACCCCATGCCAAGGTCGCACGTCCAGGAAGCAGTGAGCTGGGCAAAGAGTGACCCCAAGCAATGTGGCTTCGGATCACGGCTCTTAACTTCCAGGCCAAGTTTGTGCTCAGAGGAAACTTCTCTTACAAGCTGCTTCAAAGAACTAAAGATGATGACATGCCTTTCTGGGGTCCTCAGCTACCAGCTTTGGAAAGGACGCATCCCGGGAGCTCTTCTCGCAGGGGCTGGTGTGTTCCCACAGCTCTGGGTGCTTCGATCTGGGTGCGAGGAAAATCTGGAATGTGGGTTGGGGCTTCTGTGGCCCACTGTTGCCAAGGGTCTCCTCCCACCACGAGGCAGCCTGAGCCCACGGCCCACAGGAGGCCTCCTGGTGACCAGGAACACCCAGGAGGAGGCAAGTATGGAGAGCGCCCGTCAGTACACCATGGTCCACGGCGCCCCGTGTCCCATCTCCTCCCCGCCCCCAGGCCTTTGGGTGGGCAGGCTCATAGCGGGGGTGCCAGGCGCCTACCCTGTGCCCACCCAGCATGTTATGATGCCAGCTCAGCCTCATCCAGCATGATGGGCAGAGGCCTCTACTATTGCTCCTGTTTTACAGATGAGGAAGTGGGGGCATGGGGCTGATTCTCCTGACGCTGACATGGCAGAACAGGGCCTCTTACAGCCGATCCATGGCTCTGATGGTTCACTTTCATCCCTACCCAACTTCCTGGTGACGTCTGCCTGCCAAACACCAGAAATGCAGCAGCTGCCGGCTCCCCTAAATGTACATCACCAAGGTGAAAAATCAGAGCTGATAATTTTAGGGTCCTCAGGAGTCCATATTGAATGCCAAATATCTTAACAATCCACGCTGCATGTTTCCAAAAAGCTATTTTGATGGACTAGTCAGCCAAGACTTCCTCCAAACTCACCCTAAACAGCATCCACCCACGAGGTCAGCTGTCCCCGTCTGCCTGCAGCTGGACCTACAAGAGCATCACCACCGACAAGACATTCCTGGAGCCCCTATGGCGCCCTGAGCCTCGTCCCCTCGGCCGGCATCCAGCAGCTCTGCTTCGGCACCAACTGCCGCCACCCCACAGTCAACAGGCTGAGGAGCTCACATGTGGCCCCGGGGTCACACAGCTTGTACCTGGTGGGCCTTGGGTGTGGGAACAGGTACAGCCAATCAGGAATCAAGGGTTCAGAACAGAAATGGGGGTCCAGAAACAAGGCAGAGAATAAGGTATTTCATGATGAATTCATGTATTCATTCAACAGTCATATCTCTCAACATGATGGGCATGAGGACACATGGAGAAGAGGGTGGCCAGGACCCTGGCACCCACGGGCACCTACTGTCCCCAAGGCCTGTCGTTGACAACACTCCCTGTGCACACACATCAGGATGCTCAGAAGGGCACTGCCCAGATGTGGGTATGCCTCGCTGTCCGTAAACACACGCTCACCTATAGGAAGGGTAGGAGGCCATCCACACTCAGGGCCCTTCCCCTTCAGCATCACAGAGAGACTGTGGGATACACCCCCGCACACGGGGCACCTTTCCGTCCCTCCTGGGGGAGACCTTGTGGGCCTGACCCAGCCTCTGCATCTTACATCCTATTCCAAAAACAGTGAGATTCTCAGGGAGGCCATGGGGCTCCCCCGGGGCCCCGGCAGGCAGGGGTGCCTCCTGGTGTGGAAGGCCGGGGCCTGTTCCCTCTGCCCCTGATGGTCATGCCCCACTGCTTGGGCAAACTCTCTTCCCGTGAGTCTGTTTCCACATTTAAAAATGTGAATGTAAGTCCCTGCTGCAGCCAGCCTCACCACACCCCGAGCTAGCTGCCCCTGGGGATGGGCCACCGGAGGGCTTCAGCCCTACGCAGCGTTCCCCCAGGGCAAGGGGCTGCTCATGCGAAACGCTGCAGGGGACCGTTCTGATTTCATTGACTGGAAGAAAATCTCCCACATATTCACTGTGCACTGGGGACTGGGCCAGTCTTGCTTTTGAGGGCATCAGCGAGCCGGCCTTGCACTGTGCCCAGGAGCCATGCCCCAGCAGCCCAGAGGGAACTGGGTGGCCCAGCTGAGGTAACCAGGCCCACGCGTCCACCCTGCAGACCGACGGGGCTCTTTGGCAAGGGAGCACCAGAGTCACAGGCTGGACGACAAGGCTGACCCAGAACTGGTGGGAAGAGAAGGCC